AGCGCTATGATATGTCCTTCGTAAAACGAGGTTTGAGAAGAGTCCTCTACAGTAAGCAGCGGCTTGGCTGTGTCCCCAGCGTTGATGGTGTCCCTGAGCGATAGTGCCTATTTGTCATCAGGTATGCTCGGTTGCCAATGGAAATAAAAATGGTGGCATCGTTCGAAATTAATATACACACCCAATGTCTTATCCATAACAGCTCACAGCGGGGTATGTCCAAGAAACATGAACTTAAACAATAGATATTGGTGCTAGACTTAGCAAATTGCTTTTGTTAGTGTTTTGTTCTCGGGTTGAGAAACTAGACTGAAAAAAGCGTAACAATGAAAAATGACATGTTTTGCAGGAATCTTTCAGGCACTTCCCTATCACCTGGGAATGTACACACGTGTACACAGTGAACTGTTTGTCTATCGATTCAGCTTTCCATAAATTTTGAGAATATAGAAGATATTTTAAGTATTTTTATTAAATAATAAAAACTGACATAATTATGTCTTTTTTTTCCACTAATATTCCAGATATTTATCTTTATCAATCCGCAGTTTATTCGCATTCATTCACATTTTAGGCTTCCTTTAATTATTTTAAATCGAATCTTTATTTTTAATTTAATCATTCTTTATACAAAAAAAAGTATAGCAACAAATCTCTGTGTTTTTATTAATTTCTTGATCAATACTCCGAGCTGCATTGAATAAGTGTGTGGCTCGCCGCACTTTCATTCACAAAATCAAATTTATTTAGTCAACTATCTAGAATCTAACTGCGCACATTGAGCCGTCTGTTTCGTGTTCGTCGTCTTTCATGGTTGTTAAATACAACACTGAACGTTTACAACAAGGGATTTATTGTGTTTACTATCAACTCGAGGAGTATCGGTAAAAAAATTCCAATTGAAATTAAGAAAATAGTAATGGTATATACAGGATACGTAAACCTACGTTATTTTCGTTAACGATATCGCGTGTATTTATTAATCTGTAAAATTTATTGTGTTGCGTAAAAAAAAATGTTGTTGTTGTTATTTCGAAATAAAACATATAATAAACTACAGGTTTTTTTCACATTGCAGCTGTTCAAGAACCGATCTGTTGTTTTATTTTCTGTCCCTTTGAAGAAGCTCAAAAATAATAAAGCCAATTGCCAAGACACGAGCGTTGTTTAACGTGTCTTCACGAAAACAAATAATTCGATAAACATAACGTAAGATTTATCAATGCTATAGAGAGAAGTGATGTTTTTAACTATATTGTATCCTTGAACCGTTTCTCACGGGATGTTTACGACACACAGACCGATCCATCATTCAGTATTAATAATTTTTACGACTTAATGCAGGTACATAAGCTTTGCATCATGAGTACAGACCTAAACAACACAAGTAGCTCGGACGCACACATTAATGTTCACATTCGTATTGTGAATAAACATCGTAATGTAGCAGATAAACTAGGATGGGAGCCAAGACGAAAATATGCCACGCCGCGTTTTTCCATTGGATTTAGCGCTTTGGAAACCAACAGTAGTCGAGACGGAATCGAAGACTCATTGTTCCCGCTCGTGGCGAGTGATAACGATAAATGAATGGACCCTGTCAAATCTATCTGATGTCTGTTAGATGCGGGTAAATATAGCACGACTCGCTGCATCAGTCTCACCTTTAAATAAACACATCAAGCAGCCGCTCGCAATCTATAAAGAAAAGTGCCTTGCACGCTACCGATTATGTCGCACCGTTTTTTTTTTCAATTGAAATCTAAGCCCTGTTCATTAAACTAGGAATAGTGTGTACCTAAGTGAGTGTTGTGAGAGTTCATCGTGTGCTGTGTTCGTGTGTGCCGCAAGGTCGCACGTCGAGTGTCCATATAAACGAGACAGGTCGATGCACACGCGTCAAGGTGGGCACGGAAATTTTCATTCAAACGCCAGTTCTATTTACATCCCAGTTTGCCACAAATTCGTTACAAGTGCGCCGATGCTCGCGCACTTCCTTTGCTGACGTATACGCAACGGACCTTCGCGTGCCTTCGAAGCCGCTCTATCATTTCAAACGGCGAGTCCCGTGATATATTCCGCGTGTTGTTTTCCTGAGCGGAACCTTAGTTTAGGTATACTAAAAGGCGGGTATTCGAAAGTAGAATTTCTAAAGCCAGGGCTCGAAATGAGCGGGCGGCTCCGAGCTGGCGGGGCGGAGGTGCGCTCGCGGTGTTTACGTCGTGTTCACTGTCAAGCGAGTTATCTGTTATGTGAGCAGGTGCGACTGGCGCTAGCGTCGCGTGTGCGCGCCGGTGCTATATTTGAGTGGCGCGGGCGTCATTACATAAAGATGTCGTGTGTCGATCCTCACCTCCTCTATCTTGAGGCTGGTGCGGACCACCTTGCGGGTGACCGCGGTCTCGTACGACTCCTCGATAGTCTCCGCCATGGTTACGTGTCGCGGACGCAACGAGCGACGCGCGCGGTATCTGCGGCGGTACTGAAAGGAACGCGGTTATTTTTAGTCGACGGCGAGTCGCGGCGTGTTCGCTCCACCGTGTACTGCCTGCCACTACTGGCCGGTTGGTACAGGCACTCGTCGTGAGCACTCCGACGGGACCAGGGTACCTCGGGGGCGCTGAACAAACACGCCCTGTTATCATCCTCGCTCCGAACACGTGACTTGGACTGCGCTGCATCGCGCCCGGGAGATGTTTCAAAACAAAACCAAAAAACATCGTTTAATCTTATTTACGTTCTCCATTCCTTTTTTAAACGTACTTTTAGTGTTGGGGCGTGGCGTTTTTCAAGCGGATTGTTTTTGATGTTATTTTTTTTACATTTCAGGCATTCCTGTGTGCCTTTATACGACAAAACTGTTTACCTATAAATAATTAGCTTTAAATGAACAAAGCACCAGTATTCGCGTCGATTGCACGATCAATTACAATCTGCCTTCGAAAGCAAAAACAGGCTGTCAAATCTCTAGTTTTTTTTAATGAAGGAAGGATTACTGGTGGCCGGAGGCCTTTCGAATTTCACCAGAACAGGTGGGGTGTAATCTAGGTGCCTTAAAACTGTTTTTTAATCCACTTTCGGGAGGAAAGAATAAATAGCCAATCCATCATATTTTTGCTAATTTTTGACAATTCAATGTGAGAGGGCTCGACAGATTGCATGTTCGCAATTGTCAGTTTGATATGATGAAGCATTGAAGAATGAAAGTTCAGAAATACTTCTGAATTGTAGCTTAGAAGTTTGGGTCGTATTTGTTGGATTACGAAAAAAATGGTTGGTATTTTCGAAATTTTCATGTGATACCTAATCATGATTGAAATTTGAAACCACTTCATATTAATATATATTTCTTTTGAATGACAACTTCACGGCTCAAGTAGTAGTAAGTGGGTTCCAATCATTCTTAACAATGTCAACATCGCGTGTATTACACAAAGGCTGTCTCGGAACATTGATATTAAGTATTATGTTAAATATTAAAGAAATATTATAGAAAATATTGATTCTTCAAATAAGCAATTAGATATTTGTGTTTTTGTGTGAAATTCTAAATAGCTTTAAAAGTGAGAATGTTGCGCGTACAACTTGGTGCACGTGCACGTGAAAGAAGTGAAACTTCTTTTGCGGTATTTAGTGTTGTGGTCTTCTTCATTTTTTATCTTTAAATCAAATTTCTCTTGTAATAGGGAATGCTGTGTATAAGAGAAACGACCACTTCACCATTTATAGATATTTTAAATTATTATATAAAAAAAAAATATTTTTTTTTTTTTAAACTAATAACAAGCCATCTAGTAGCCGACGTCCGCAACCAGAATGTGTATAAGAGAAGCGACCTAGCTCGTTTTCCCATGGTCGAGCGGTTCGCGAGACGCTCAGTCTATTTTCTCACTCTCGCTCGTCCTAAATTGTATCTTTTCACTCTAGCCGTAACGAATCTGTCGCGAGTTAAATTTTACTCTCAACGCGCCTAAAGAAGTTTCACTTCAAAAATATGATCTTACAATGTATGCCGTCTCACACCGATTTGAGAGAAAACCGAATATTTTTATACAAAGAAAGCCTGTACTGATGATAAATAAGAGTAAGCCCCAGATATTGTTGATAAACTCATTCTATAGAAATTATAATAGAATAAATACGTATATTGACCGTCGTCCCAAAGAATAAACATACATATAATACAAATACCTCCATACTAATTTTTTTAGATGCATGATCGATGTTGACAAATCCCTAACCTAGACCCGACACTATATTTACCGCTAAATTATTTCATTTTTTGACCCTTAAAACAATATTTCCTTGCACTCGCGAGGACCCAACGAAGTATTTGCTGCATTGTACATCAACAATATACAATTCAAACATCAGAAGTCTTCGTGGCCTAAAGGTTGATGTCGAATGCATTCGTATGCGGTGCGACTGTGGGTGTTCGAATCCCGCGGGCGGGTACCAATTTTTCTAATGAAATACGTACTTAAAAAATGCTCACAAAGGTGAGGAACAATGTCGTGTAATAAAAACCAAACCCGCAAAATTATAATTTGCCTAATTGCTGGTGGTAGGACGTCATGTTTCCGCACAGGTAGGTACCACCACCCTGCCTATTTCTGCCGTGAAGCAGTAATGCGTTTCAATTTGAAGCATGGGCCAGTCGTAATACGTAGATCTTAGAACTCATGTCTCAAGGTGTCTACGGGCTCCAGTGACCACTTAACACTAGCTGGGCCGTAAGCTCATCCACCAATCTTAGCAATAACGTCCTCCCTAACTGTTTTATTTTTTATTTGTTGTTTTATGTTTGTTTTGTTTTTAACTTTTTCCACTTTCCCCTGTTGGACAGGGGAAAGTGGAAAAAGATCCTAAAATTGAAGCTCATGGGTGATGGTGGTCACGACCCTCAGACATGAGGAACGCGACTCGAGGAGGAGGAACTGTTTTATCTTCCTGCTAATATTATTTAGAAGCGGATTTAGAAAAATAAATAAAAAACGAGGTATTGCATTTTATTTTTATTACGCAACATTCATTGTCTTTGAATTACATAATATTATTCATACAAACATGTACGCCTATAACTAATATACAATTTCGAGATACGTTCCTTTTATACATATAATTAGTTTCACAAATAAAACTGATATCCATTACGACATTGTGATGCGACCATAGATAATGTTTAATTCATTAAGAAAAAAATTTGTCTATGACATATTCTTTGTCTATGGTGTATTTATTTGCAGGAACAGAGTCGCTTTATTTAAATAAGGAAAAACACAAAACTAAGTTTTAAATAGGTTATCACTTGAACTAATACTTAGGACAAATGCCGATTTTCGTCTTCTTTGAAGCTTTGTCATTATTCCAATTGACTGTAATAAAGAAAGAAATGATTTTATTAATTTTTTTTTTAATTGCATAGACGATTGCAAAAATTAAACTCATATAAAATCGTATAATAAAAACCAAACTGAACATATTTTTTATTTATTATCGGTTATTTATTATATTTTAGGTTAATTAGTTATTTACTTATTTACGTAATTATGGATTACTAATTATTACTGGAGGACGTCTTGTGAACTCGTACGGGCAGATACCACCGCCCTACATATTTCAGCCGCTAAGCAGTAATACGTTCCGATTTTAAGGATTATACACTTGGAATTTAGAGGCCTCATGTGTAAAGGTGGGTGACAGCACTGATATATATACCTATTGGCTCCGGAAACCACTTAGTACTAGTAGCATCATCGACTCATTCAACCGTCTAAGCAATAAAATAAACAATACGTTATTAGCAGTTAGTGAATTGATATAGATTGATCCCCGTATCTTTAGTCCTTCACTCGAGTTTAACTCGACTCGACTCAACCTCCAGCGCGCGTTTTGATAAGCTTGATTGTAAATATAGCCTCCACTCAAAAGTCCCTCGACATTTTTCCTCACCGGAGTGGAGTAATTGAACTGTCAAGTCAAAATACAGTCCGCACGCGAGCTCCGATGATTCGGGGGCTGAGGGAGCGGGCGGGCGTGCACCGCGCCCGACCGTCGCTTCATACCCCGCACTCTCCCAGTACTAGTGTCGACCTTAACGTGGCGGCGGTACCCACCCGCGCGGACTCACAAGAGGTGCTACCACCAGTAAAAACAGCCTTTCGGCCGTCGGTATATGTGCGTGTACTGACATGACCCGGACGGTGTTGGTGAAGCCGGAGCCCTGTTTCCAGCCGGTGACGACGACCGCGTTGTCCCCGGGGTGCACGAAGCCGCGCTGCCGCCCGAACCGCAGCCCGCTCTGCACGCGGTTGTCCACGTCCTTCAGCCAGTCCGACGCCGTCGGCTCTGTTCGACAACAAACATTACCGCATTACAATGCGATCTTAACACGTACATATACAGTCGACCCGGAAACCCGCAAATATTGGAAATTTCGTATTACTTAGATGAGAGGACGAGCTCACAGTCCACCTGGTGTTAAGTGGTTACTGGAGCTTATAGTGATCTACAGCCTAAATGCGCCACCCACCTTGAGATATAAGTTTTAAAGTCTCAGTATAGTTACAACGGCTGCCCCGCCCTTCAAATCGAAACGCATTAGTGCTTCACGGCAGAAATAAGCAGGGCGGCGGTACCTACCCGTGCGGACTCACAAGAGTTCCTACCACCAGTCATTACGCAAATTATAATTTTGCGGGTTTGATTTTTATTACACGATGTTATTCCTTCACCGTGGAAGTCAAACGTGAACATTTCTTGAGTAAGTATTTCATTAGAAAAATTGGTACCCGCCTGGGATTCGAACACCGGTGCATCGCTCAAAACGAATGCACCGGACGTCTTATCCTTTAGGCCACGACTTCAAATAACCGCGAAATTAAAACTGTAAAAGTATCTTTGATCATGTATGTCTACGACTCGCATATTATTTGGCGTTATCATTTATTTGACCACGCAACAGTCCAGGTGTCTTCTCTTGGTGCTGGAAGTATTGTCGGGAGGCCATTCCACTTTCACCAGGACGAGAGGAATTTGCTAACAGCTGCCCTAGCAGACTACACAAGTGGCATCTGACTAATGATGATTTTATGCGTGCGACAGTGTAACAATACAAGTACAAACATCTCGGAAAATGGTTACCCGGACAAAGGCGTATATCTCTAAACGCTGTTACCGTAGTGAGGAATGACACAAAAGATCCCAAGGGTCACAGAGCCGAGCAATTGAGTGCCCGGCCCCTGGGAACTTAAAATATATAGTAATCCAAACTGGCCACAAATGACGTCACGTGCGATGAAGTTGCCCTAAGCTGACTTTCATGGGGTCTGCATGGCGATTAAAGAAATAATTTCTGTGCGGTTCTCCAAAAAAATTGGATTGTTAAGTACTATCGGCGTCAATTTACGTCATTAGGGTCAGACTCGGGTCAGTCACCTCAAACTGGGAGAATTTTTATAAAAAAAACCTCATTTTGGGAGTGCTTGTCTGAAGGCAGCTATTTTTTTGTTATTTTTTATTTTAAGGGATTTTATGACCTGGTAACTAAGACCTTTAAGTCATGTCTTATTTTAGTTTATGTTCTTATTTTTATGAAAAATGATAATATGGAGTGAAATGTAATGAAATGAAGATGATTAATTTGAGACATTAACCAACTGGGATGAAATTGAATGAAATGAGATGAGATGATATGGGATGAAATATAATCTCAGTAAAATGGTGGTCATTTACTGTGATTTTTTCAGTGGACTTTTTGAAGGATCCCGAGAAGTTACGTCCAGCGGCTTTGTTTCATTTTCTCGCATTTGTGCAGTTTCACAGATATTAAACAGTTATTAATGTTACGCCGGTAAGAGTAATGGCATCTATCGCCGAATAGTCGAACAAATATCGAAGGACCTTGTAGCACTTAGGGCGTTCAAGAAGTATAACGCCATCTATTTTCAGATAGCAAAAAACACAATACTCGAAATGTGTGGAATATTCTCGATAATTCTAGCTATGCGGTATCGGCTATAAAAGCGTTGTAGAGATGGCACGCAGTCGGTCAGTAATCGGAACTACACGAAGCGAAACAGCGAACGGATCACCTGAAGCGAATTCGAGAGGTGTTTGTTAAGTTTTATAAGTGTTGAATGCAGTTTTTAGTTGTACTTTGGTGGAATTTTATTAATCCCTAGCCCCCAGCGCGTAACAATAAGCCACCGTTATTAAACATTTAAACCAGAAGAAACACTAAATAGACAAAATAAAACAAATCACACAGCTTCACTGCTCGTGTTTCCGCCAAAAACGTCAGGCAGGTGGTGCGTACCTTGGTAGACAATGGGCAGCACGCCGCGGTAGAGGTGCACCTGCCTGGCGGTCTGCGGGTGCCTGGTGACGGCGATGATGGGGCAGCGCGGCCGGTACTTGCTGAGCAGGTGCGCCGACTTGCCGCTCGTCGTGATCACCACGATGGCCGACGCCAGGCACTTGGTGGCCGCCTCCACCGCGGCGATGGCGGCCGAGTGCGCGGGATCGATCGGCGGCTTCACCTGCGAAATCATATGTTCAAAGTATTTGAAGTCGCCGTGGCCTAAGGGATAAGACGTCCGGTGCATTCGTGTTGAGCGATGCACCGGTGTTAGAATCCCAGGCGGGTACCAATTTTTGTAATGAAATACGTACTCAATAAAAGTTCACGATTGACTTCCACGGTGAAGGAATAACATCGTGTGATAAAAATCAAACCGGCAAAATTATAATTTGCGTCATTACTGGTGGTAGGACATCCTGTGAGTCCGCGCGAGTAGGTACCACCGCCCTGCCTATTTCTGCCGTGAAGCAGTAATGCATTTCGGTTTGAAGGATGGGGCAGCCGTTGTAACTATACTTGAGACCTTTTAGAACTTATGTCTCAAGGTAGGTGGGTGGCGCATTTACGCCGTATATATCTATGGGCTCCAGTAACCACTTAATATCAGGTGGGCTGTGAGCTCGTCCACCCATTTAAGCAATAAAAAAAAGAAAATAATCTGGAGTTTAGATGGATACATGACCTGGCGTCTAATTTTCCTCTGGTGTATACGTCCTAGTATTTTCTTAGTTATGTGGCATGAGCTTGATTCACTTTTTGAATAGCTTAATACAAACGACATCAGGGTACCATTAGTCTATCCCAGTATACAGTAACTTATAACTACCTATAAGAAGAGAAAATAACATCACACCTCGGACACAAGGTCGTTGAAGAGTTGCCTGTGCCAGATTACAGCTTCAGCCTCCTTGCAAATGTTGGCCATGGTGTGGACACACTCGACAGGGTAGTCGCCCTTGGCAGTCTCCCCGGAGAGCATCACGCAGTCGGCTCCGTCGAGGATGGCGTTGGCCACGTCAGAGATCTCGGCTCTGGTGGGACGGGGCTTCTTAACCATGGATTCCAGCATTTGAGTCGCACAGATCACTGGTTTTCCAACCTGGAGAAAATAAAACGATAATATTATGAATAATGACCACTTATAATTTGTATTACCTAATTTGGTCTGATTTGCTCACTCTCTCCCTTCTTGAAATCTTTGATACAAGTGTATCTTTTGTTTTTACCTAAAATAAATTTATAGTAACAATGACCACATACAAATAATGAGACTAAGAATGATATTACAATAAAAAAATTCAATAGTAGGCTCTGCGACTTGCTATAGTAGCAACGACATAATAGCCGGACCAGCAATAGGTTATGTGGTAAGAGAAGATAATTTAAAATGTTTACTGTTATACTATGATATTTTGTTTATTTTCGGTAGCTGACGACAAAACTAGAGTATTTTAAAAAGCACCTGATTTTTATCATTATTCAAATATGAAAACGAAATCAAACCTAGTTTATCATCACAGTATTTCTTATTTTTTTATTCTGGTAACACAGCTATTAAAAGTAATTGACAGAGTTTTTGGCGGGAACGCGAGGAGTGAAGTTGTGTGATTTGTTTTATTTTGTCTATTTAGTGTTTCTTCAGGTTTAAATGTGTAATAATGGTGGTTTATTAACTGTTTAATATCTGTGAAAGTGCATAAATGTGGGAAAATGAAACAAAGCCGCTGGACGTAACTTCTCGGGTTCCTCCAAAAAGTCCACTGAAAAAACCTCAGTAAATGACCACCATTTTACTGCGATTATATTTCATCCCATATCATCGCATTTCATTAAATTTCATCCCAGTTGATTAATGATTGAATGAATGATCTTCATTTCATTTCACTCCATATTATCATTTTTCAGAAAATTAAGAATATAAAGTAAAATAAGACATGACTTAAAGGTCTTAGTTACCAGGTCATAAAATCTCTTAAAAAAAAAAGAAAAAAGTAATTGACATGATGAGACTTACCCGGTTGCATCTGGCAATCATGGTCTTCTGGGCGAGGAATACCTTTTCTGGGGGGATCTCGATACCCAGATCTCCACGAGCAACCATGATACCATCGGATTCCTGTAACCACGTTCATGACATTAGATTAGCACGATTAATGATTGCAAGTAGAGTTATGTACATACAGTAACATAGTCCTTCTCAATGCTGCAGGGACCTGTGTGCTTAGTGCGAGTTTTTTAACGTTCTCGATAGCGTAAAAGTTAACTCAATTTTGTATGTAGTTGGAACAGCGCCCCTAGCGGCAAACCTAGGCAAACGTTTTTTTTTATTGCTTAGATGGGTGGACGAACTCACAGCCCACCTGGTGTTATGAGGTTACTTGAGCCCATAAACATCTACAACGTAAATGCGCCACGCACCTTGAGATATAAGGTAGATAGATAGATCTCAGTATAGTTACAACGGCTGCTTCAAACCGAAACGCATTATTGCTTCACGGCAGAAATAGACAAGGTGGTGGTACCTACCCGCGTGGACTCACAAGAGTTCCTACCACCAGTCCAGATCCCATTCCATACAAATATGAGGTAACTTTTACGCTATCGAGAACGTTAAAAAACTCGCACTAAGCACACTGAACTACAAACAATACTTTTCTGTTGAAACCTGAATCTCGAGGTACGACTGCGCAGATGGCTTTGAATGCTGGAGGTTCCTATCCTCCAGAGACCTACTTGGAGTGCGTTGGGCACACAACTTAAGCCTCAAGAACTCTTATTAATCCATATTGCCAAACAGAGTATGTTTTTCAAATTATCACTTTATTTACTGGGTATTTTTCAGCATTCAAGAATCATTCAAAGACAGGAGGTTGAGTCTTAGTAGTCTTATTCGTCTGGGTTATGTATACCTCTAAGCTGGGAAGACGAAACAGCGTCAATCTAGTCTTGCTACTTGGCAACCCTAGCATTAAGGGCATCAAAAAGGGCGCCGAGATTAGTACAGAAATAAAAAAACGGGGGGTTATCACAAAAGATTCTTAAAGGTCCAAAGTATCAGGGTGTTTATCCACCTAGTCCTTTAAAACAAAACGCATTCTTTGGCTCAGCGTACCAGGTTATACCGTCTTTTCTGGCACCAGAGTAGAATCAAGCAAATGTGACCCTTAATCTAAATTGCATAGGCATACAAATCTGACTTCAACCCATCAGAGAGAAATCCATTCTGAACCGGTTGATACCAGAACAGAACGATCCAGACAGACTGCAATTTCGCACACCCAGGGTCGATCTAATGCGGTAATCGAGTACATCCGTCTCATGTTATTCAGTTAAGACTGACGAATCGTTCGCGTTATTATCGAATAATCTCTCGTAACAGCAGTTCAGATTTAGGAAAAGAAAGACAAAAAGTCCGATGTCCATGGCCAAACAGTCGTCTATCGTGTTTTTTTAAAGAAACTATATAGATTATTCTCTTTGGAAACTGCGAAAGATATGTCTATACGCACTCGTTACTTATTTCAGTATAGCTAATTTTTGGACTGGATAATTTATTGTTTTTGTATGGACAGCCCATAGACATCTACAACGTAAATGCGCCACCCACCTTGAGATATAAGTTTGAATGTCTCAGTATAGTTCCAACGGCTGCCCCACCCTTCAAACCGAAACGCATTACTCCTTCACGGCAGAAATAGGCAGGGTGGTGGTGGTACCTACCCGCACGGACTCACAAGTGGTCCTACCACCAGTAAAAATTTACATTTACCTAGCAATCAAATTTTGCATAGCATCTGAGAACGTAGGTACTTACAGCTATAATCTCGTCTAAATTGACCATTCCCTGGTGATTTTCGATCTTGGAAATGATCTTGATGTTCTTGCCTTTTTCGCCGAGGATGCCGCGAATCTCGTGCAGCGCGGCGCCGTTGCGGATGAATGACGCGAAAATCATATCAACCTGTTTGGGATAACAAGACCACATGGGACATGGGAGTTTGAACTGTTGTTATAGGCAGAGCATATTTCTTTTAGAACATATGGTCGTTGGGGTCAAAACGTTCTCTCTCGAAGGTCATTAACAGAGCCCTGAAACTGCGATACTTTAAGACAAATATTTTTTGTATGGAAACTATCGACATCTTGTAGTGGATGCCCCTAAACTTATATGTTGTTAAAATTAAGGCATTTAATTATTGTGTAACTAAACACAGAAAATTAAAAATTAATAAATCATACAAGTCTATATTTGTTTGTTATAGACAAATTTATTGAATTTCATCAATTTGTGGTTTCTGAAAATTTACAAAATCCTTCATTAAAAATAAAATAAAGGATAGGTAATATGTTACCGCCATCTACAGGATCAATGAGAAACTAATCAAAGCGAAGCTATCTAGTGGCCGACGCCCGTAAACATTTTTGTTGAGTGCTTGAGTTGCTTATCTATAACTAATTTATGGGTATTATCTATGGTCATTCAGACGAGCCTTGAGTCGACCCCTACATGTCACCACCCATTTAGATACATAGCATTCTGAAGTCGCGATTGCATTAGTTAGCCAAGGTTTTCATAGCTTCTGATGACTTCTATTGCGCAAAAACTTTCCACCTAAAATTCATTACAGAACCACCATTTCTCTCTATAAAATCCAAATTGGTAACACCGATTGGTAACATCCCTAGTTTCCGTCACCTAAATTCAATTCATAGTCTATTTTGAAGCCTGTCAAACAGATCTCGAATAAGAGACAAAACTATCGGGCTAGGCATAGAAACAATAATAAAATTTCCATGTCCAATTCACGTCTAATTACGTTTACAATGTAAATGTATCGATTCCATGATGCGCGACAGCAAGGTCGATACGCCGCATTACTCATCTGTGATGTAAGATGTTTGGATGTAGCTAAAGTATCGCAGACCGCATCTGCCCGTATTAATAATGATACAAAATCACAACATTGTGAAGTATTTTTTTTATTTTTTTGCTTAGATGGTTGGACGAGCCCGTAGACATCTAAAACATAAACGCGCCACCCATTTTGAGATATAAGTTCTAGGGGCCTCAGTATAGTTACAACGGCTGCCCCGCCCTTTAAACTGAAACGCATTACTACTTCACAGCAGAAATAGGCAGGGCGGTGTATCTACCCATGCGGACTCACAAGAGGTTCTACCACCAGTAATTACGCAAATTATAATTTTGCGAGTTTGGTTTTTATTACACGATGTTATTCCTTCACGGTGGAAGTCAATCGTGAACATTTATTAGGTACGTATTTCATTAGAAAAATTGGTATCCGCCTGCGGGATTCGAACATCGGTGCATCGCTAGATAAGAATGCACCGGACGTCTTATCCTCTAGGCCACGACGACTTCAAATCACTATCACTCCATATCATTATCATCTATTTATCATACACACAAACCTTCCTCTTGAAAATGCATTAAAATCAGTTGCATAGCTTAAAAGATCTAAGCGAACACACAACGGAAGCGACTTCATTTTATACTATGTAAATATTAGTAATTTCTACGTATTGTGTGTGGGTTAGACGGATTCATTTAAAAAAATTAACATTTATTTTGTCCTTTATTGAGTTATTTCAACAAATACCTTAACAATTTGTGTATTTAGCGATAGTACTAACACGAGTGTGGTCGGGATTCAAAATTATCAGTTTTATTTACTGAAAACTTATCTGATGTGTTATACAATGTGTTGCTATCTGATATAATAACGTCTGTTACTCGCGTGCTGGTTTTATCACCCGCGATTCGGGAACCATCAAACAGTTGAATGCTGTATGCGTGAACATATTTATGGTTTTAAATTTATAATCTTGCACTTAAATTTAGCGCGCATTGTACGACGAAGTTCAATGGAAGTTAGTCGACAAGGACGCAATGTAACGTGTCTAAAAATATGTTTGTTTAAATATTTATTTTTCATTTTCTTTTTATTACCGTTATGGTACTAAATGACCGTCACAGCTCATGTGCATTTTGCCATGTACTTTAGTTTATAGTTTTAGAAATCACTCCAGCCCATTACTTTCATGGAATTCGTAAGTGGAGGAGGCAGTGACGGACTGACCCAAGCCTGACCCGAGCTAAGAAATATAATACTTTCGTCATCTCAACATAAAGTGGGGCTTCTTTGACGTACTATCTATCATCTTTTAAAATCCGAGACATACATTTCCTAAAAGCACGATACAAAAACAGAAAACGCGATATCACTTAAGACATTGTTTTAGAGATTTTTTCTAAAGTAAAGCTTCTTTAACACTAAACATACCATAACGACTCAAATGACCCATTTTGAACTTTGGGCATTGAAAATGGACGTATCATCTTATTGCTTTTGAACATTTGACCTCATGACTTTGACATAAGTAATATTTGTCGTATACCGTTATCTACCCGCTATGCTAGAATTAGGTACCAGTAAGTATTGGTATGATTAGTGTTAATCCACAAAAAGATTCCGCCACTTCGGACGTATACCAATGAGCCGGCTGTTGTGCACGATCTTTTGACCAAAGACAACTGATGAGGACCAATCCTAAGTACTTACGCCTTGTTCGACGCCGAAGAGCAGGTCCGACTTGTCCTTCTCGGAGACTGCGGGTAGGTCCACGGGTATGCCGGGCAGGTTGACGCCTTTCCGGGATCCGAGCATACCTGAACAAATAAGATTGGAGTAGTCGCGGCACGATAAGGTAGGACGTCCGGCGTATCGAGCGATGATACTATGCCAGCGTTAGAATCCCGCAAACGGACCTTTTTTTTAAAGAAATAATCGGTTTATGTTTGAGAACGACCTCCACGGTGAAGGAATAACATTGTGTGTTAAAATATAAATTCGCAAAAAAAATGCGTCATTTCTGAGTTTCATCTAAGCCTCCAAGGGTAGAGGAACCTCCATTCTGCTTATTACAGTTGAAAGACTAGGCAGTTTTCTTTCGTGTCCCAAAAGAAGACTACATTCCTGATTTTCGATAAAACAATGGGAGCTACGATCTCATCTCCTCAAAACTGTAATTTTCAACTTTGCCTTTTCCACATCCAAAGTATTTTATTCAGACCATTTCGATTAAATTTCTTAAAGCAGCAATGAAACACAAAATGTTTTAGGCCTTTATTGGCGCTTCAAATCTCTTTACCATCCAAGACTTTACCGCTGATTCGAAATGGAGTTTTCCTACTGTTCTCACTATCTCGGCAAAAACGGCAAGACGTTTGGTCTTTAGCAAATATTTGTACAAAGCAAAAAAAAAAATTTAGTAATGTTGTGTATACGTATATAGTGTATAGTAAGTAAGTCCTTTACCTCCGTTTTCAATGGTACACGTAAGAGTGTCAGCGCTGACCGACTGACAGATGATAGAGATGAGGCCATCATCGATGAAGATTCGGTTTCCTGGCTTCACGACATTCGTTATGTTCTTGTAGTCCACGTAAATTGTATCAGCATTGCCTTTCTCTTGATAATCCGAACTTGTCGTCAACTTTATAGTCTCTCCCTTCTTCAGTTCGACTTCAGCTGAGCCGCCCTATTTTGAAATCGAATTCAAATTTACATTTTATAAGCAAGTAGCTAACTCCGCATCGATAAATAAAATACCTATACTTTTGTATAAAATAAACTCAAAACAAACAAAAGAAATCCGTCCGACGGGGGACACATCAAAGGAAAAACAAAATTGTTATTTTTATTTAATTCCGAGCCTTTTCATATTTATCTGCCTTTTAAACCTTCGCTGGACTTCCACAAGTAATTCAAGACCAAAATAAACCAAATCGGTCCAGCCGCTCTCGAGTTTTAGCGAGACTAACGAACAGCAATTCATTTTTATATATATAGATAGATAGGTTAGTTTTATTTTAAAATACCCACAATTTTGGTTAAACTGCGTTTGGAATTTTCTAGAAACAGTTCCTAAAGAAGAATCGGCAATCAACTAGCACTAAGAAACAAAGTTTATAAACGAAGCTCAGCATAAACACGCGCAATTTTATTATGTTTATTGTAAACCCGCAATGTATATAACGCGAAACTGTCGCAGACGCCCCCACATTACCTTGAGAACGTACATTCCGCGTGTCAGTTGTTCATTAATTGTATTTCATTGCGTGTAATGCCAAAAATAATCTGAAGCTAAGTCTCTCGACATATCCTGTTAGGAGACGGTAGTTTTAACCATTATAACGAGTCAACGAAATACAAGATATGGCTAGGCTTAGTAATAGCTATGTTGATAAATAAGTTGAGCGCTGTTCTATTAATATTCGCAGTTAGTTGTTATTGCTTTTTTTTTTGCTTAGATGGGTGGACGAGCTCACAGCCCACCTGGTGTTAAGTAGTTACTGGAGCCCATAGACATCCACAACGTAAATGCGCCACTCACCTTGAGATATAAGTTCCAAGACCTCAAGTATAGTTACAACGATTGTCATTGTGCCATAAAATCAGAAATCACTGATGCTTCGCGACAGTAATAGACAAGGTATTGGAACCTACCCGAGCGGGCTCTCAATAAGCCTTATCGCCAGTAATAATAATCACACATACACAATTACGACCAGATTTAGTTACTTAGTTACGTCGATGAAACCGAGAAATCAACCGCTCGGTCATGCCAATAAGATAGTTATGAATTACAGAATAGAAACATATTCTCGGTATAATTAGGAATGACAAGTTCACTTTGTTACCGTTTGAATGAAATACGACTCTTTTAGTATTTCAAACATCGGACACGACAAAAATAAGTCAATTTAACAATTCATCATTACGTAAACGCTGAATAGAGAAATAAAAAAGTCGATTGCAAAGCCTTGCAGCGTTCCAAGTCCCTTCCTTCCTTCCTGAAAATTTTTAAACCAACTTACGCCTTCCAAGAGCCCAGTTCTGATCTCAGGTCCTTTAGTGTCCAATGCGATGGCCAAAGAGAAGGGTGAACCTAATTTAGCGCTGTAACTCTTCTCAGCCTCGCGACAATTGCGAATGGTCTCTGCGTGGTACTCGTGGGAACCGTGCGAGAAGTTCATCCTTGCCACGTTCATTCCCGTCTCCATCATCTTCTCTAGCACAGCTACATTACGGGAGGCCGGTCCTAATAGAAAAAAGGGTTTTTTTTTACCATTGCAGATAGGGAGACCAGATCAGTATGCAAAGGTGTTAAATTTCATTATGTTTTTTATTGAAGGAAAAACTTTGTATCCCTTTTTACGAAAATTGCGCGGACGGAGAAGTATGAAAATTTCCAAACTTATAGAGAAGGAGTGCAGAATGTTAATATTTTTTAAAGTTGTGCCTAAAAAATACATTAAATCAATAAAAAAAAACATTACACACACTACCATGTCTTTGACGCACACACGCATGCATACTAATTATTTATTTTCAAACTTTTGTTCTTGACGTCTGTGGTGAAATTGAGGATCGATTAAATATTGTTTGTCTTTTTTAATATTTTTCTACAATGTATTCTTAGCGAAATTTGTGATTATAGAAGTATAATAGTCTTTGAAAATAGAATCATAATAGTTTACAAACTTACAATTTCAATTAATTATAGTCGAATTTCGACTACTGCGGGACCACTAGTTTTCATGATTACGAAGCTTACCAATAGTACAGATTATTCCGGAGAGACGGATGTACGAAGACTTGGAGTCAATGTCGAGGCCGCACATATGCTGGAGCTGGGAGCCGACGTTGGCGACTGTGGGCTTTTCAACTGCACCCGCCTGTGTTATTTAAACTACATTTAAAAATGAACTAACAAAATCGTTTGTCTATACTAATATTATAATCTATACTAATTTTAACGGCTGTCTGGTGCAGTGGTAAGTGACATGGTCACTACATAAGGGGGTCGCGGGTTCGAATCCCGCCAAGGGAAGATATTTGTATGATAAATATAAATGTCTTTTCCAGGGTTATGGATGTATATTAAATATATGTATGTATATAATAAAAATCTTACATTTATTTCCGTTATCTGGTACCTGTAACACAAGTTCTTTACGAACTTATCACGGGACCAGTTAACGTGGCGTGATCGTTAGTAAATATTTATTTATTTATTTATTAAGAGGAAAGATTTGTTAGTTTGTTTGTATTGAATAGGCTCCGAAACTACTGAACCGATTTGAAAAATTCTTTCACTGTTTCGAAGCTACACTATTCCCGAGTGACATAGCGGTAGGCAGCGGCTTGGCTCTGCCCCTGGCATTGCTGAAGTCCATGGGCGACGGTAACCACTCACCATCAGGTGGGCCGTATGCTCGTCCGCCTACAAGGGCAATAAAAAAAACCTTTTTTGAAAAAAATTACGAATCCTTACTAAAAGTCCAATAATGTAACCCAAGGTGTAAAAAAATTACCTAAAATTTTCTTTACATCGCATGCCCTGCGAAAACTATTGATGATAGAATAAAATATTGTACTACGACTTTGTAGAGCACATTATCATTTACAAAAAGTGTCGCGACACCATATGTCTAACTATTATAGTTATGCCGCAATAAGTGTTCTTTTATTTTAAAAAATAAAACAAAGTCGAATATCGTTGAAATTTTTCTTAAAGACCCGAGCGGAGCCGGACCGGACCGCTAGTCGAATATAAACATACACAGCGCACTGGCAGATGTCGCATGCCTCTTGCATTAGATACCTTCAGCTCTAACACTTGGAGCAGGCTGAGGAACCCCGGTAACCGTACTCGTCGAACTCGACAAAGAGGTCGACGTGCAACCTAACCCATGCATCAGCCCGCTGAGTTTCTCGCCGGATCTTCTCAGCGGGTCGCGATTCCGATCCGGTAGTAGATTCATTCGCGAAGCAGCTGCTCTTGAGTTGTTAGGTCTCCTTCGGAGGCGCTCGGGCAGTTGTTAGCAAATCCCACCCCTCCTGGCTGAGCCTTTGCTCGCCCACCTGTCCTGGTGAAGCTGGAAAGGCCTCCGGGCCACCAGTAATCTTTCAATCATAAAAAAAAAAAAAAAAATTTCGCATGATTGAGAATGTACTTAAAGAGCCATACAATCATGAAGACAGATAGTAGATCGTATGGTAGAGCCCGCCGACACCGGTAAGAAACACCTTACTGTTTATTTCCGGTTGAAGGTTGGGGCAGCCTTCCTTAATGACGTCATGTCTACGATACCACTCATTACAGCTCATTACATTAAGGTCTTATGGTCACGTTCTCCTCCCCTAAGCTCTTTTTTGGTGAACCTTGAATTATTAAGCGGCATGAAAAAATGTTCCTAATTACGTTGATAAAATGTGCTCTTATTATAGCGTATCTTTTAGGTTTTTAAGTGAGAGAATCAGGCTTGAAGCTTTTAGCGTAAACGGGTCTAACAAAATAGACTGAGTAAAATTTAAGATATTGAATATTTTCCATTACGTGCTTTTTACTGAATATTTACATACAATTATCACGCATATACGTAGGTACTTAGTCGGACATACACTTGCCAACATTATGATCTAAAAAAATTATAATCTATTATATTTGCGAACATTTGTAGTTATTTTCTGTATGTCATTGATTTTTTTATTTCGAGAGCGCTTGATTTTCATCGAAGTTACATATTTTTAAATTGAATGATCACGATCTGAATACATAAAAAATTCCGTGAGATTTGTATGACGCTATTTTCTGTGTTTCAAGACATATTTATCGGGAGCATAAGTCATAATATTAAAAGCAATACTGCACTTGTTCAGCTATTAACTTGTTGGATTATGATAAGTTTGGTAAAAAAAAAAAGGCAATTTATGAAGTGGACACACCCCCTTTGCTAATAATTACAACTATGATTCTAAAATTCCGATATCGACACCTATATTTCTTTAAAATAAAGAGCAAGTAAATAGATACATTATTTCTATTATATAGCTAATATGTACTCGAAATAGTAAGCTTGGTTAACCACGCTATGATAGCGTTCTAACACAAACAAAAATAACTTAATTAAATTATCGATCCATTATGATAGTCGCCTAAATTTTTGTCGCTACTAGTATTAACGTTAGCACTAGCCAAAGCGAAAATTTAGGTCATAGCATTGATCCGCTGAGTTTCTCAATGGATCTATCCAGGAAGTCGCAATCCAGTGGTAGATGCACCCGCCGAGCAACGGCCATTGAGCTTTTAAGCGCTGGGGCAGTTGTTAGTACGCCCTCACCTCCTAGCTGAACTCTCGAAATTACCTAGACATCCCAGTGAAGCTTTTAATGCCTCTAGACCATAAATCTTTTTGTCCCAAACAAAAGACATTCTGCACTTTATGCATAAAACACACATTACTAGTGGGCTGTGAATTCCTTTCTTATGAAAGCTTTGATATTTAATTCAATAAAATGGATTACTTTTTATGCTACCCCAGTGCAGATGTTAACAGATGGGGGATATTCATTGTTTGTTTCACATTAAAAAAACCCAACCAACCTATACAAGATTTGTTCTTCATATTTCTTCCTTTATACTGAATTACTAATGCATTTATTTAAGAACTTTTTTTAACGCTGGGGAATCCTTTTTAAGCAATTATTAAATTATTTAAGACCTGTTACCTACACTAGTATTTTACTTTTTACTTCTTTGCTATATTCTAGTGGATTATATGTAGTATTTTTTATTGCTTTAAGAGCGAAGAGCATTGATTCCACCTGATGTAAAGTGATCATGCAGGGGTACCACCATGACTCTACCTATATTTTTAAAATTAAAGTTATATTTGATTTGGTATGGACATGTGATGCGTAGAGAGAAGATGCATGTGACTAGGAGATGTATGGAAATGGTAGTGCAAGGTAGAGGGGGAAGAAGTCGACCGAAGAAGACATGGATGGAGTGTGTGAATGATGATATGAGAGAGAGAGAGGAGTGAGTGTTGAGATGACGGCTGATAGAAGAGAAAAATTAGCTGTGCCGACCCCACCTAGTGGGATAAGGTGGAGAAAAAGAAGATTTGATTTGGTAAAAACCTGACCAAGCAATTATGTCATATAGATATAAACATGTACATTTTCCACCTATAATTGTGCTAGTTGGTTTCCATTAACGAATTGAGTATTTCTGTAACAAATTTAATAATAATCAGATGACCACAAACATTAACTATGTGTCCTGTCTCTTGCCACATTTCTATCATTTAATATACGTAAATACCATGCTGTTTCCTGTTGTTTTACCCACTGAAATCTTTGTGGACAGTATTAGGAAAATTTTGATATTTTATAACAGAATCAGTTCAAAGTTTTAATACAAATTGAATCATAAATTGAAGAAAAATAGTGGAATTCTACAAGTTTTATCATACTCACAGAACATTATGAAGAAAAAAAAAGATGAGATTAAATGCAAAATATAATTTTCTTTTGCTTAATGTTCTTCTTAAAAAAATGTGTTCATTTTTTATTTAGTTGTAAATACTTCCCATTGGAGGTCTTTGTAGCTAGCTGAATATAGTTTATTTATTCCATGGGCAATGGCTTTTAATAACAAACTGCACACATCTTTTATCACTGCAATATTTTAACATGATAACACATCATGTTATATCTGCCTATTATGCAAAATGTAAATATGTTCTATCATTGAGCCAGTCTTCATCCTTCTGTTTAATTTGGTTGTTCTTGGTGAAACTTGGTGAATACTTAGTCAGTTAATTTTTTTAAATTAAATTATAAGAGTAAATATTTCAACAAAATTTCGAATTTAATAAAAATTATATAACATGTATTTAAATACTTCTTAATCATAAAAATGGAAAAGTTAAACATCAGATATTTAAAAATTAAATAAGTGATGAAAACGTTTTAATTACATTATTGGTAAAACCGAATGCTTCACTCTATTCCCAATATACTGCTTTTAAAATCACACAGATTGACTCATAAAACACTAAAGTCTAATTTTCCGAACTCAGCACAAATATTTAAACTTAAGTTTTTATACTGAAGAATCAGGATTGAAATTATCAAAGCACAATATAAAATATTCAAGAAGTTCCACAAAACCAACCGGCGCCGAAAATCCGTCAAGGTGACAACGTAAATGCAGCAAAATCGAAATAGATCGCGTACATAATAACAGTATAATAATACACGGAAAAAATTACCTCGATTTCGCCATCGTGAATAGTAGGGTAAACCATTTTTAATGGATTATAGTGAAGATATTTGTCTGTGAGCTCTCGGTTACGACTGACGGGCGGTTTACGTGATCTTGAACTGCCCTTCCGAGTGAAAAATTGAATTCCACGTCGGGAGAGCGCGATCCGTCCTGCGTATTTCGCGTGAATACAGAAAAGCGGGCGTGCGCACAACGTTGTAGCCGTCGCCACCATGGGGTGAGTTAAATTACAAGAACTTATCACCCTGGATTTTTTTCACATGATTTTAAAAAGCAAATTTATTCATAGTTAAATTTATACGTTAATTTTGAACAGGTAACAAGGAGCAATTAACTAAGGAGTATTAACTCAACTGCGGTGTTGCGTTCCAAATTTAAACTTTTGATTAGGTGCCAATGAGGTTCAAGAAAATTTGGTTCAAGAAAGAGTCTAACTGAAAAGAATAATACGTATAGATTTAATTGATAACAGCATTAATGATCACTTAGCAATAGTATTGATTTTCGCGCAATATTTTTGACTTTTGACGCAAGGCGATTTATGACAGTTTTTTAACTTCCGGTTTCCTTAGGAATAGGAAGTACTTCCGAAGCAGATGTAGCCAACTTTTTGCGACAAAAAAGCCTTTTTCAGTCTAACATTTTGTTTGGTTTAATACGTACCTTCTACGTTTATTGTGATGTTTTAAATTTTAGAGTAAATCACGTACCTAAATTATTAACTTTTTTAGATTTTTAATTCAATTAAATCACATTTAAACCGCTTCAATAGAGAAGTGCTATATGAACACTTCTTATTTAATTTTCTGTTCTATTTATCTTTCCAACCCTTTTTAAAATGGATATATAAATGAATTTCGATAACTAAAATACACATACATACATAAAATATAAAAAAATGTATATAAAAAAAATTATAATATACACAAAGTAGGTACCTACCTATTTCAAACTTTTGTAAATATAATAATATTTAGGCAATGGTACGGTTTGTATGCTCACAATAATATCAAGTACGAAATCAGCTGTTGTTACATTCTATGGTTGCCGATCTTCTAGGTTATGAATTTTAATAGCAACTTAAAATCTAATTTATTTTTTATGAATATGAGTTTATAGACTTTAAATTTTTTCTTGTCTCTTACATTATATCTCGTACTTAATCTTAAAAAAAAAACTTATTGAAACTGTAATTTAGCCAACTAAAAACAACAACCGGTAAGGCCTTACCCAAAATAGGTATTTTTCTGCTATTAGTAACTAGCGACATATTTAATTTGCCTTTTTAACACTTTATTGTCTTTAGGTAAGCTTTTTATAAAATTGAAGATTTAGTATTTCCAACCTAACAACCCTTGTCTTGATCTATTGATTCCAGATCCAATCTAGTTTTAATGAATTTCCAAAAAGATCTTTCACGATATTAGCATAATGAAATTTGAATACTCACGAAAGCCATTATTATGTTCACCGATTAATTGGATTAATTTATTCTTGATATTTCACAGTATTGTTAAAAGCATTAAATTTTTGGACAGACCACGCATATGATCAACACAAGGACTTTTGGAGGTCAAATCAATGTCATAGACAAGCAGAAATTGAATGCAGCCATTTTTATTCATCGTTTTTTTATCGAGCAGTCATTAAAAAAAAGGTCCAAAGAAGCAACAGGTAAAAAAGTTATGTATAAAATAAAAGTATCTAATGTATAGTTGTAGGTACCTGAAAGAAAAATTCTTTCTCAGAGGTAACCGTTTTTGTTGTTGTAATAAAATTAGTTAGATATTAAGTTAAAAAGATTAGACTACAGACAAAATCCCATTTGTGTTATATTTCGATCGAGTAAGATAGAACACGAATATAAAACATTTTTGAAATGGCAAAAACAACATTATGTACTTATATGATAAAATAGAAGTTTTTTATAAATAAATTTTCTACTTACTTTGTCATTGTAAAGTTTCACAATAGCTTTCATTTTGTTTAATATTTCTTAAATTTATGATAACGCACAAAAGTATGTAATTGACACAGTTCAAATCACTCTGGATACAGTCTCAACACTCGGACGTTTATATGAAGACTGATAAAACTGTAAATTGAGACCTTAGATTCCTTATCTTCATAAACTGTCAATAAGTTTAGTTAGACCATTACAATATTATCAGAGTACTATTTATTCATAGTAAACAAGTATTTTTATCTTACTACTACCTACTTTTTCATTTCGCTCATAAATTAACTAAACATCATTTTCATCCTACCCTAAGAAATTTATATTATTATGCTTTCCGGATTTCGCAAAAAAAAAAAAATTAGCGAAAATTATTAATCATGAAAAATTGAATGTTTTGAATCTACAAAATTATTTTATTCATCACTATCAACTGAGACTTAATGTACACAGCTACCTGAGAGATTTTCAGAAAAAATAATTTCTTACACAAAAAATAGCGTTAAAACTAGAATATGCGCGTTTATTTTCAAATTACTTATACCTTCAGAGAACTTACCGCTGGACCAGGATTTATTCCAAATACTTCATTATATTCCTCTTTGGTATTTCTCGAGCGCTATAAAATTACCCTACCTATTCAAAGTATGAAAAGATTACTTAGTTGGACGGTGGACCGCGTCAGATCGGAGGCTGCTTTCAATAGACGACAAACCGAAAGCGTAATGTCGTTATGTTAAGTTGTTAATAACTCATTTCGATTTATCGAATATATGTACATAAAGCTAATGCTGTGATTAGTTAAAAATTATAATTAAGCAAATGTCCTGGGATTTCGCTTAACGTGCTTTGGCTTAAATTTCCATGTGTCAAATAAGTCATATGCTGATAACACCATATATTTTAAATATATCAGTCGCGACGTGTTGTATTCATGGCTTTGCGCGTATAAAGAGTATAGCGAGGGAAAACACGATAATGTTTCACAGAGCTTCCTGAAACTACTATCAAAAGTATTTTGTATAACTATGCAAGAACATATATTATCAGAAGAAATTTTTTCTTAAAAAATTACGTTAGCTAGATTCAGGTTTTCCCAAATTCCTCTATTCTATTAGCTGCTGCGTATGCATAATCTTTACTATCAATTTCGTCCCGTTATGACCTTTAAAAGTGTTCGCTCATTCAGCCCGCACTAACTTAAAATCATTCCAAATTATTCAATCCCGTTTTTGCAGGATAGCCGTCGGAGCTCCGTGATTCGTCAGGAACGTCGACCTCCATGACAGCCTGGACTTAGAGTCCATCAGTATCGCCAGTCGGCGTCGCTGCGCCACTTCGATAAAGCGGTACGACACGAGAACCCTCTCATCGTGGCCGCCGGTAACTACATTCCCGATCCTGCGGACAGAATGTAAAGCAGTCGACGTCGCCCCAAATACGTCATTTCGGATCCTCCCGATCCACTAACGGTGCTTTTAGGTACCTCAAGCACCGGTCATCGTTCTCGTCGAACCCGTCGCTTGCGACGAAGGGCTCGGCGAGTAAATTAACCCTCAGACACAGCCTACTGAGCCTCTCGCCGGATCTTCTCAGTGGGTCGCCTTTCCGATCCGGTGGTAGATTCTGCGAAGCACGGCTCTTGCTAGGGTACGTGTTAGCAACATCATCAGGTTTGAGCCCCGTGAGCTCGCCTACTAGTTAAGGCTACGCTGACATAGCCTCTTAAGGCTATCAGCTTAGGTAGGAAAAAAAAACCATCAATTTCGTACTTGAAGGGCGACAATCACTTCGTAACTGCATACTCATTTGCTTATGGAAGCAACACTGATTGAGAAACTATGCATTTAAAATGCAACACATAGTTGTCGAGTTTAAGCATTGCTTATTGGTAAAATAATTAAAATTTTCGCCAAATTAATAAAAGCACCCAAGTAGGAAGCTTATAAATAACAAAAACATTATGTATAAATAACATTAACAAAAAAGAAGGGGTTTTTTAAATTTTTATTTATTATCTAATTCAATTTACAATGAAAATGAACGATAATAGTAATTAATATAACATTTTTTGAATATTAAAAAAAAAGTCAAAATATAGCTACTGACAAGATTTTTTCACCTTTTACAAAGGTTTTGGAATGGCATCCGCAAAATAAAACAAAAAATTGGGTAATTTTACATTCGCATTCGTTTATATGAACTTTTACGAAACAAGGAACATTTCAACTTTTGGAACATAATTTTACAACCAAATTAAGCATCTATATGAAGTATGGAAAATAATGAAAGGATAAACAAAACCATTTCAGTTTTCCTTTAAATAAAACAATAAGACAAAATCATTACGTCGACCTGTTTCCTTCTCAGAAAACTTAGTTTATGTCAAAATAGTTTTAATGAAAATAAAACTATACTTAATTATTCTTTTGTAGTTTTCCATTAAAGTAACTTTATCGTCTTCCACTCACGGATGAGTATTATAAACAGGCTGCGGACCGTGAGCACTGATGATCAAACCAAACTCACATCTTGATTTAGCTTACTTTATTCCAATACAAATTTTGGTTTTTATAGTGAATTTTCAAAAACAAGAAATTAAATACATTTAACATTTATAAATTTTATATAAAAAGTAAAGCTTATTTTAATTACATTCAGCTGACAATTTACATTTGTTTTGTAATAATAATAATGATATAATATTTTACATTAAGCAAGAATGACAACCAGTACCATTTTCTCTGAAATGTACAAGTTCTTAGGACAGTTTATTACAAAATTAATATAATTATATAGGTAGGTATTTGACAAAGTTTATCAAAGGATAATCTTGAAATTACATAAATTACATCAATACTTATTTTTTGAGGTTAAGTTACATGATTATTGTTTTAAATAGGTATTATATTTTTGTTATATTATATTAACACAAATAAACTAATGTGCGTTGCATAATAAATGTTTATAAAAATTACGAAACCTTAGCATATCTTCATAAAAAACGTGAGGTTGAATTTATTGATGGAAGTTTGTGCTTGTCGACGACCATATTGAAATGTCTCTTTTTCGCAATATTTACTATAAACATATCAAACACCGTAATGTATCAAGATTGTTGTGTTTCCTAAGAGAATTTTCTCTTTTGATCTCTGGTTTCTTTTACGCAATAAACAAGATTGTTATTTATCTTGTCTATGCCTTAAGAAAATAATTTGTTTTTGAAAAAACAACGAAATGAGGTAGGTATGTAACTGGTACATACTAGATGCCGGGGCACATTTATGTTCTGGGGTGAGTTTCCTGGAATTTATACATATTTCGATGAAATGTATTATAAAACATCAGAATGAACAGTAAGCCACAACCTATT